TCAATCTCCGAGCGCGGGATCAGGAACCTGGCCAAGTCAGTCCACGACACACCCAAGCAAGAGCCCGCAACAAGGGGAATCACTCAGCCTTGATAGGGGCAAATGGCAGCATTGCGGTCCCGAGCATCCTTCTTCACCTCGGGGACGGAGCCGTCATGACCCGATTCGCCCTTGGGGGCATCAGCCATGGCGACATCTCCACCCTGGGGCTTCTCGGCAGCCTGCTCTCCCCCATTGGCGCGACTCCCATTCTGACCGCTCGGCGTCTCACTCTCGAGAGGCGGCAAAGCGTCGATCTTGACGCGCTTTGCAGCTCGCTCGTCGGGCGACTGCTCACGGGCGGAGGACTCCATGTTGAGAGCTGTGGCCTGAAGACGTCTGTGGGTGGCGATGTGTGCAGATGATTGAAAGCGTATCAAGCGGCCACCTCGTCGATGAGAATTTTCAACGGCCGCTCTTCACTGAATTGGGACCTGAACGCGTATTAGGCAAGACGCAAAATTGAGGGAGGGATCAAAGCCAATGGGCGAGCAAGCAATCTCATACCTCTGTTTTCCTGCGGATCTTTGATAGAAGAACCAAGTGAGGGGACCTGTACGCCAAAAGATCACACGCTGAGAGACAGACGCTGGTCGTCAAGAAATGGAAAATCCTCGGTTGCAGACGCCGAAGGGCTGGTGATGAAAGCCCGGCAGGCAGGCAAGGGTGGACAAGGTGGGGGACATTTTCCATCGGCAGGATCGATGGCGGGGCAGGCGCACGGACCAACCAGTATGGATGGATGGGCGGTCCCTGCCGATGTGGCGGTCTGCTGTGCCTGCCCTACGTACCTACTCTAGGTACCTTAGGTATGCCTCAGTCAAATCAGTGTCTGACAGCTATCTCACACACACGCTGCATCTGTCACTTTGATGGATACTTGGCAAATTCAAGACATGCTCGAGACAACGATGACTCTGCGCGCAGCACACAAACGAAATCCAGATCAGAACCGTCACGGAGCACACATTCAGTCAATACCCATATGTATTAACACCAAGGCTGGTACTGCAACCGGCGGTGCTAAGCTTATCGTAATGTGGCGGTACCTCCCCATCTGTTGAGAAGTCGAGCCATTGCCCAGAGTTGAAAGAAGCCATGATTGTACACCTTGAAACACACTGCGCCGGACTCTTCTCAGCCCTCCTGTCCTGCCATTGACTCGGCCGTAGGTCGGACTCCGCGAAACGCACGGCTGGCCAGATCATGATGGCTGAAGTCATGATCCTTCCGGACCATCCGTGCCAGTCACTGTAGTGACCATAGTCGAGAGTTCCCTCTTCATATCCTTCCTTCACCAACCACATTGAGCCGAGCAATGCGTAGTCAGCGCCTACCCCGAAGCCGAATAGACTCGGTGTCCCAACCTGGTCTTCGGATGGTTTTTACACCACAGGCAGGCAGACTGCACGATTCGTCATTTATCTTGGCCGTCCATCGCTGATCCGCCTCCCGGGGAATTCCACCGGCCGTGGGCGCTCGAGGAACGGTAAGCTCGGTGACTGCCAATGAGATTTTGGGCTTGTTCAGCCGCATCAAAGTAATAGTGCTGTTGTATGTTGATTCTGCGTCGTCGCAGCGTCTTTTTCTTATCATCTCCGTGTTCATCGCCTTCTCGTGTCGTTCTGCTCTTTACATGCTCTGCGCTTGGATGCGCGCCGGCTAAACCATTCATATCAGTATTCAGCCGCCGGAAGAGGTGGCCGGGTGTCGCCACTTACAGGACTGTTGAGCATGCTCTGACGCTTGTTCCGCCCCTTCTTGATGTGACTCTTGAGAGCGCTTGAATCGAGCGGCTTGAGCAGCTCAAAACTGCAGAGCAACTCCGATGACACGGACATGACGGCGCCCCAGTTGTCAAATTCGCCGCAGTACTAGAAGTCCACGAGTTAGCCTACCGATTCCCCTGCATGCCTGCGTGCCTGCCTTGGCGTGCGGGGAACACTTACGTTGGGAGCACTGAACACTGTCACCAAGAGCCTGTCCGTGAAGAATTCGTAGCCGTCTTCGACGACCATGTGCG